TCTGACCGATTCGGTAGACATAATAAATAAGTTTAAGAACCACTTTGACAGTATTTTAAATACGGGAAATTATGATCTGTGTCCTCCTTCTGAGTACCAGAGTGCTGAACCGTTAATAGAAGGACCAAGTAAAGAGGAAGTTGAAGTAGCTATCGGAAAATTAAAATCTTATAAAGCAGTAGGAACCGATAATATTCCTTGTTTACTAATTAAGGCATGCGGGGAAGCTGGAGTTTCTAAAATACATCTGTTGGTTGAAAAGGTCTGGGTGAATGAGAAATTACCTGAAGAATGAAAAGAATCTATTTTTATTCTGATTCACAAAAAGGATTCGTGGACGGATTGTAATAACTATCGAGAAATTTCACTCCTTCCGGTATGTTATAAAGTATTCAATTTAATCTTAACCAGTCGAATCACGGAATATGCCGAGGAAATTATCGGTGACTACCAATGCGGATTAGGCGGAATCGATCGACTATTGATCAAATATTTTCTTTACGGCAAATGTTGGAGAAAAAATTAGAGTACAAGGGTGTTGTTCGCCAGCTGTATATCGATTTTAAAGAGGCTTACGCTTCTATTGACCGTCAGAAACTGTATAATATTCTAATTGAGCAGGGAATTCCAAAAAAAAAATAGTAAATCTAGTCAGGATGTGCTTGACGGAAAATCTCAATAAAGGTAGAATCGGTAGTAATTTATCCGAAAAGTTTGAGGTTCGTTCGGGTTTAAAACAAGGGGATTCCCTTTCGCCTGTCCTGTTCAATTTGACATTAGAAAATGCCATTAGAGAGGTGATGCTTACTGAAAAAGGGTTGGATTTGGGTGGAACAACACCAGTGCTTGGCTATGCAGATGATCTGGTCTTGTTAAGCGAAGACACGGAAACTATAAAACTAAATACGTCAACGTTAATGAAAATCTGTAAAGAGCCAGGGCTCGAAATAAACACGGATAAGACAAAATATATGGTTAGCTGCAAAAATGGCGGTATCGCTGGTCATATTGATATGGAAGGTAATATGTTTGAACAGGTAGATAAATTTAGGTATCTAGGTTCTACGATAACTAGAAAGAACGAAATTGAAGAAGAGATTAAGGTTAGACTGAAGGCGGGAAATGTTGTTATTTTTTTGTGACAAAAGTACTTAGCTCGCGCATATTTTCCCGGAATTTAGAGACTAGAATCTATAAAACCATTACCCTATCTACAGTTCTTTATGTGTGCCAAACGTGGCCGCTTACATTAAGAGATGAGCAACGTCTTAAGGTTTTTGAAAATGATGTAAAGTGTAGAATATTAGGGCCGAAGAAAGATGAGTTAACCGGGGAGTTTAGAAGATTGCACAATGCCGAGTTGCGTGAACATTATCCAGTTAAAGTAATTGAGGTAATTGAATCGCGGAGAATCAAATGGACTTGTAAAATAGTTGGGCTTGGTAACGAAAGAATTCCTAAAAGGTTTATATTTGCTGTACCGAATGGTAAATGTCTGAGGGTTAGACAAAAGTGAATGTGGGAAGATTGCTTTAAAGCCGATCTGAAGGGACTGGGTTTGGACGGCGACGGTGGAGGGGTGTGTAATAAGCTATTTGTGGTGTCGGCATCGAACCTTCGGGTTCGCTAAGCCTTTTATTATTATTATAAGGAATTCGTATACGAGTGGAAAGATGCTGTAGGCCCTACACATTTTAGTCTGGGAAGAAGAGAAGGAAGTTAAGACAAGCTGCAGCTGCTTCGAGGACCGACTTCAGATGGAAGAATGGAGAAAAAGGAAAGTGTGGGCTTGTGCACACAAACAAGTCTACACATTATAAATAATAATGTTAACAAAATTTTAATTAAATAGACCGATACTGCCAGCATTGGCATACACATACTGCTGCTACAATCCGTATTGTCTATTAGGCAAGGCAGGGATGAAAAAAAAAAAGGAGTCTTCACTTAATACTATCAAATTACCGCCACACCAGCCGGTAAACATTCTGCGCCCCCGGGCAACGACGTAATTTCTTCTTTCCCCTAAAAATTTAAATTTATATTTTCAGCTGTTTTACACAATGTAATGTTTAACTTTTATTTCATTCAACATTTCTCTAATAAAGTTGCTTTATTGTTAGGCTAAATTATTTTAGTACTTTTGTATTTTTTTGAGGATCGGCCGACGCCCCGGGGCAATTACCTCAGCTGCTCCCATCTAAGGCTGGCACTGTGTGCATCCACAGTAGATTTACGTTATTGTTCAATCGAATCATAAACCTTATTTAAATTTCCTCTGAATCTGGTAAATAAAATTGTTTTGCTCCATTTTTTTCTTCTAATATTTAGGGTAATGGAATTAATTGATCAGCAGCTGAACGGTTCTGTTTGACGTATTCCGCGATTCGACTAATTAGGATTAAGGTTCCTAGTTTGTTATGACAATATCTCGTCGATCTCTTTTTGTTAATTGGGATAAGAATAGATCCCAATTAACTGACATTTTCTCATTCTACAAATTCTTCATAACTAACCATTATATTTTAGAAATTTCGATTTCTCCATATTTCTTAATTAGTTCACTAAGATAATAATAAGTTACTGCTGCTAAATAGGATTTATATTAGTTAAATGCCTGTTTTGATTTATGAGGAGAAGAGAGGCTGCTAGAAGACGCTACAGATGTACTCGACTGCCTCAGCATTATTCAACATTTAAATCCCTACGGAACTTTACACAAATGTCCATACTTTAACAACGTTTTATTCCAAACACCCAACCCTAAATCCAAATGGACAATTCTTAAGAACATCTGTGTTGTTAGCTTGAAAACCTGCACACGATATCCAGTCGATCCGAACAAGCTAAATTCTTTTTTCACAAATCATTTTCATTTGACGGCTCATTTTTTTTCCATCACTGAAATTCCCTTCGATCCTGAGAAGTTTAATTCTATCAATATCTCCCTTACTGACCTGCTCTCTGCCGCCATTAAAGCCAAAACGAACGATTATGGTCCTGACCAAATACCTGATAAACTATCAAACTCTGCCTTCCAACCTTACTTCCCCACATATATTATTCATCTCTCCAAAGTCTGGTAAAGAGCCATAGTCCGTCCATTGAACAAAGTTCCAACTCCTTCATCAGATTCCGATCTCCATTTTATTCAATCTACCAAAGCCTCTAAAAAGATTAGTCCACTCTTAGTTGAACAGTTTTCTCCAGCAAAACCTTCTAAATCTTTTACAATCTGGTTTCCGTTCCCATTATTCCATCCAGTCTGCCTTGCTTACCCAAGACCTGCAGTACGCCATAGAGAGACAGAAAATCTCCAGTCTAATCCGTTTTTGACTTTTCCAAAGCGTTTGATCCCATTAATCCTGAGATCCTCGTTTCCAAACTCCAAAGCCTGACCATGTCAAATAGCATCCTGAAATGGTTCCTTGTTATTCAATCGATCTCAGACAGTTGTAATTCTGAACAAACCTCTGTCATATCCCCTTCAAATAACAAGAGGTATTCCTCACTGTCTCAGGCCCTTTTCTCTATTTATATTAGTAACCTTTCGGATGCCATTCAACACTCTTGTTACCACTTTTATACTGAAGTCCAAATTTACCTATCATTCCAACCTTCTGAGATGTATGAGGCTACCTGAAAGCTATTAGAGAATATTGACATCAACAGATGGGCAGAAATAAATGAGTTTAAGTGATATAATAGATAAAACTCAGGCTATTCTCATTTGGTCGATATCTTATTAGTTCTCTTCATTACTTTCCTCTACTTCCCCTGAATAACTGCTGCATCCATCTTTTCCCTAGTCAAAAACCTTAGAGTAAGTTTGAACAGAACCTCTCTGTTAATAACCATATCTCCCAGATTATCTGAAAATCTATAACTATCCTTAAATAACTCCTAAGATTCTGGAATTATGTCCTCTAAAACCCAGATAGGTCCTTGTAACCTCCCTTATATTTCCACACTTTGACTATGGCATATGATGGGCTATCTGCCAGGCATTCTCATGCTTCATTCTTGTACATGGAGTTGAAATGGTTTTATCCTACATACTAATGACAATTTTTCCTTGGTATTTTCCTTTTCCAAGTCATCAGAGTAAAAAATACTCTCTATATCATGGAACTCCTTAATCTATAGATTTATATATCCCCTCCAATAAAACTACTTCCTTCAGCATTCCTGCTGTCTCTTTTTGGAACTCTTTACTTACTTCCATATGTCAATCCTGGTCCACAAATTTTTTCTTCTAACAACTCCTGTTCCACCACCTACTCCATAGTCAAACTTTCACATTGAAATTTAAAACTGTATAAATAAAATCTAACCAGCAAACGTGAACAGAACAAGAATTACTGTACATGAACAGGCCTGTTGAGATATTACCCAATGGTAGCATTCCCTGAATAATTTTAACTAAGATGATCCTTAGGCCTACTTACAGATTCTTTATGCATATCTGGACATCTGGTTTAAATGTCTAGTTCTGTAGGAACAGTTTGGTGGGTACCACTCTTCATAATGATTTCAGTTCAACATAAATGGTTTCTGTCAAAGACAAGCACCTTTCATTCAATTTTAATAATTTTTAAAACAAGAATTTAAGTTTAATTATAAGAAATAGAGAATAAGATCGCTTTAATTGGAACCACATAACAAAAACCTTTGATACAAACTCATCACTCAGTATGAAATCTAGGATTACCAGACCTCTATTGAGAATACTTATACCCTGAAGTATACTTCTTAGGCAATACCACTGATTCAATGTTCAACATCTGGCTGTTGGAAAGTATGCTCCGAAATAAAAACCATACTATGTCAGCGAAGCTATTTTTTACCAATGGAACCATAAGGTATTAGGAGATACAAAATTTTATAAACATCCTAATGAGAAAGGGAACTAATAAAACTGACTGTTATTACCCTACTTCAAAATTTTATAGAAGTGCAAATGAGATATATATTAGGGATCATCTAAACAGAACAAAAAATAAAACAGATTACCATTTATTCATATATATTTTTTAAGTATACAACACTTATGTTTTTCATTATCAAAATTATAAGTAAAGAAAAATAAATGCTAGAACAGATGTTTTACTATGAAGTGCTAATGTCTACGCAATAAATATGAGAAAACTTGGCAGTAGTTTTTCTCTAAACTCATCGCATATAATTTGAAACAACTATTAACAATTTAAAGTGTCTTAAAAATAGTAACAAATGCCAATAAGTGGTACAATGCAAAAACAAGGTCGAAAGGGCCAATGATCAAACTTGTTTTCTAATCTCACAGTCACATTTTATGTTAAATCAACATAAGACTCTTTATTCCATGATTGTTGAAGCAATTATTTTAATAATGATCTCCAACCTGAGAAGAGCCAACAAAATCTAGGAAGGATTCATCATAAGTGAAAAAGTAAATTAAATACTTTAATTGGTAGCAGAATAATAGCAAATGTTAGATAAGCAAGTTTCAGGGATAAAAAGAACTATTACCAGTATTTGGATAAATTAATTTATTGAAGAATACAATCGTTAGTAGTTCCATGTAAATAAAGTAAAATGGTGAAAATTCTTTTTCAAAGTAGTCTAACGCTTAGTTTCTTCTAACTTTTATCTTTGAGATAATTTGTAGACCGCAATAAATTTATTAAGCCACATTCCATACAAAACAAAGCTGTTTATAAAAATTAAAAACAAGAAATCATACAACCATTATTAAAAGAAAATGAAGAAAAGTGAATTATTCTATAATTAAAATATAAAGGTACAAATGCACAATTATAATAATTTTTGGTTCCTCACTATAAATTTAAAATAAAAATGGAATGGAATCTTTAAATGAACATTTAATACAAGATTCGGTGAGCAGCAAAGGTATGTAACTATTATAAATGTAATTCCATAATTATCTATAGGTAAATGCAAATAATTGAAGAATGTATTTTCAACATAGTTGTCCAGAGTCAGCCACAGTGATATTCTTTGAAGTTTTGCCACTCTGAGATCCGTATGACTCCAACTTTTTCACAACATCCATGCCTTCCACAACAGCCCCAAATACGACATGTCTGTTATCGAGCCAGCTAGTTTTGACAGTTGTAATGAAAAACTGGCTGCCATTTGTGTTTGGACCAGCATTTGCCATGGAGAGAATGCCTAGAAAATGTGATTATTTCCATTAATATAACTTAAAACTTGTGGACTATATAATACTTAACTAAAGAAATTTGAACTACTTTAAATCTAATTTACATATAAAAGACCTTATGTTGTTGGTTCAAGTAGACCAGACTAAGTTAGTAGTAATTAAGTCTAACTTGATCGCAAGTTTCTTTTTATTATTATTTAATGTTACCTTTATGATGAAAAATCAAAATACAATCAACTTCGATAATATAAAACCATTAAAAGGTAAATAATCTAGTCCATGAGCGAAAGTTAGTTGACATTTTGTCAAACAACTATTAGAATGGACTAATGTCTAAACAAATTAAAAATAAATTGGGAAGAAATAAATTTAAAAAAATTATTTAAGCTTTCGAAGCAAGTCCAAATCAATATTACTTAATAATTGAACCAGTTTGTTTATCAAGGCTAATGTGAAGTTATTTTAGAATCCTAAATACATTGTATGTATTGTAAAATCTTAACTCTTCAGTAGAGAAAAATATATTTTTAAGTATAGAGTTCTTGCTAGTAGCATGCACCAAGTAAAAAAATGGAAATTAATAGAGGTATATAAAATTTTGAGAAACATCTTAAAGAAAAACTTTTAACAGTTTTACACTGAAATGGATGATACTCGGAATACTTCAAAAATTCTTAAGCGGGTACATTGGATCAAAAATATGGAGTAGGTTAGATCAGTCAGTAAGGCATAGGCAGTGTGACATTGATTTCCGAATTAAAGTCTGAATTTAGTAGATAATAATTATTTATTTTATTACATTAACTGTGGATCAAAACGGATTTCAAGAGCACCTTGGGGTACATACAGCTTTGATAAAATGGATACCATTCATTGAGGGAAAACTAAGCAGTTGGTTATGATATTAGACAATCCTTGAAACAGTACATCCTTACATAGTACTGAGGGCTTACACTTTTCATGGGTTGTAGTGGTACAAGTAATTTTTTTTTTCTTTTAAATAAGATCACAGAGTAAATTGAATTAAACTTTCATTGCAATGATTAAAACAAATATGTATGAAAAACATGTTTTCTTTCTATCATTATCATTAAATAATTAAAATTAATTATTAGATTATAATTTACTTATCATAAGTAATATTACTTTTCGAGAATGTTACCTGGGCCAGTGTGCTTCAGTTGGAAGTTTTCATCTTCGAACTTGTTGCCATAGATAGATTTTCCGCCAGTTCCATTGTGCCGGGTAAAATCACCACCCTGACACATGAAATTGGGAATGACTCGGTGGAAAGTGGAACTCTTGAATCCAAATCCTTTTTCACCAGTGCAGAGAGCCCTGAAGTTTTCAGCAGTACGAGGAACCACATCACTACGCAGCTTAACAGAAAAAAACAGACAAAGGTGAAAACAATAATAATTAAAATTTATAAGGTAATGAAAAATGAAAAAAATAACTTTTTGATATGATTAATTGTAGAACAATGAAGGAACCACAACAGAGAATTGTTTTATTAAGGATAAAGAAAACCTTATCAATTTTCCTTGAATGAACACTGTTTGAAGAATAATTCCCATATAGGACTCGCCAGAATAATACTAAGACATAAATTCATCAATAATCAACGTCTTAAAGGTGACTGAAATCATAAGGTAAGTTAACTGGAAGAGATAAGGGAAGTAACTTAAAACTTGTGGGTCTAGCGTCTAGTCAGACCAAGCCAATTTTTTTTATTGGGACCACATTGTTGTCTCTCTTAGACATTGTACACATTACTTACACCTTTTTAATTTTAAACAATTTTGAACATTTTTTATACCAGAAAAAAAAAGCTGCAGATCACATTGAAACTTTTGTTTCAGATGCAAATCAATAAACATTTTAAAACTGAAACAAATAAGAACAATGGACTGGTTAAGAGTTTAATCAATACATTTCAGGGTAATACATTTAAAAATAATAACATTTTTATTTGTTCACTAGAGAGATGGCTTTCCTTGTATACAACTTCAATTCTATTATTAATTTTAAAAAAAGTTTAATAGTGATACTTCAACATCTTGAGATACATCTCAAATTCCATAATATAATGTCCAAATGCATAGCAAAATGAGAATAAAAGGTGAAAAATCATTTTAAGAGTTTAGCCCAACAAACAACTTTGATTTATTTATTTATTTTTTTTTTTTTACACAAAACAATATTAAACTTAAACTTGTAAGTAGTTGAATAACATTTAAAGAATTCTGTCTGCCCAATAACAATCTCCATTTTTAAAAAAATTTAATGACCATAACACCATATTAGGGTGTATAAAATAACAAAAAAATAAATCCAATAATCAATTGAGGCATGTTTAAATTATCACAAGGACATCTAATGAAAGCTAAGTAGAACATAGTCAAGACAAAAGGCAATAAAAACAAGGAGATTTTTAATAATAAAAGTTACTCTGTTACCTTAATGATAAAACATCAAAATACAAACAACTTTGATTATATCAAAACCATTACAAGGTAAATAATGTAGTCCATGAGCGAAAGTTAGTTGACATTTTGTCAAACAACTATTAGAATGGACACTGAATTAACAAATTAATAATGAAATAGGAAGAAATACATTTAAAAATTTATATTATGCATTCGAAGTCCAAATTAATATTAAGTAAGAATTGAGGGAGTACATCAGGGATAAATTGTTATTTTTGAGAAAGATGGGGTTTGGACCGCAGATTAGTCTAATCCCAACTTTCCTAAAGAAAAAAGATATTGCAAAATATTTTTTTTTAGCAAATCGAGTTTCTATATATTATTTTTATGATATTTTCTTAATAAATGTAAACTTTTAAATATTTTTTAGATTTGAAAAAAAAAAGTATTTAAAATCCACTGAATCAAGACAATGCCATTGTTTAAAATATTAAAGAAGAGAAGAATGGTTGCGGTTATCAGTCAGAAATAAGAAGGCAAAAATGAATAATAATATTTGAGATTTGCCGACGTTTCAACCTGAAGTTCAGGCCTTCATCAGGGCTAAGAAAAGAACCAGATGGCGATAACAAGGTATGAGGAACATAAATAATGAAGGTAAAAGAATTAAAGTAAAATGAAGTGGGTAGAATAATGACAATAGTAAGAACAAAGAGATAAATAATAACCGTTACAAAGTGTAGAATGATGAAGATTTCATTTCATTTCTAATGTAAGTCCATATTCCTTTTTTCTGTTGTACATTTTATTCTAAGATTACCATTTTAATACTTGTGTCACCCTTTTTGATTATGTTTTCTTCATCATTCAACACTTTGTAACAGTTATTATTATTCATCTCTCGGTTCTTACTATTGTCATTATTCTACCCACTTCATTTTACTTTGATTCCCTCACCTACATTTTTTATGTTTCTCATACCTTGTTATCTGGTTCTTCTCTTAGCCCTGATGAAGGCCTGAACTTCCGAAACGTCGGCAAATGTCAAAATAAATATTATTATTTATTTTTGCCTTCTTATTTCTGACTGATCACCCTAACCATTCTTCTTTTCATTATTCACGACGGTCAACCATTATCCCACAATTAGTTTAAAATATTATTTTACTGTACCTGTGAGAAAGAAGAAGTGAAATATAAAAATATTTCAGGGATATGTTTATAACCTAAAATAAAATTACTGTAGTTTAATACTCTAGTAATGTTATATTTAAATTATTAGGTATCAATTGGCCATCAATTACAAGCAATCATTAAGTAACCTTTTAGATAATTAAATTAGTGAATAATTGAATGAATTTTTCGTTTGAGAAATCCCAATATTATTTACTTTCGGTATTAATAGTTTTATTATATCTTTTTCATAGTAGAACAACACTGAAGACTAATACCAAAGTAAATCTCTTTTTAAAACAAAACAATTGAAAATTAGCAGCAAAATAGGGCTGGGAGATAAATAACAGGTAATTAGTTTAGCTCACAACAAAATTATCATATTACTATGAGTAATGACTAATAAACATTTATCACTATGACAAATGTAATAAGAAAAATGAGTAAAGATTAGAAAAGGTAATTACAGATAAGACAATAGATGCTATCTATGAACCTGAGATATGATAAAAGAATCAAATTACAGCAAATTAAAAACAAAAAATCTTCCTGCTTCTTTTCTTAACAGATACTTGTATTTCCTAATAATCGAGTAGGATAAGTTTTAAAAAGTTATATTACAATAAAAGAAGAATAATTTAGTAAGTGATCTTTCATTTTCAGATAGAACGTAATAATTCAAAATTCTTTTACATAATTTCTAGACTCGAATATAAGCTAGAAGAGGTGTTAGATAATAATCAACAAACTTAATAGCTTTAGCCAACAACTAAATTCTGACTTTCAAAATTATATACAAAAAAAGTTTAAAATCTCAGACTGTTAGATATCTTTTAACAGATATGATAAGCATCAGTATGTTCCTTTCAATTCAAATTCAGGAACAGTCACTGAGTATAAGACTAATATCAAAGACTAAGAGTAAAGGTTATAACATCATAAGATGTTGAGAAATCAGCATATATATTAAGATGATAAGATACTAAATTAAAATAAACTATACAAGAGGTATTGCAAATGCAACAATGATGTAATAAGAAATTTTCCTTCTCCCCCCTCTCTAAGGAAATATAACCCTGATTGATAAAATGGAAGATCGAATAATATAATAAACATAAGGAAACACCAACATTTAGAACTTAATAGAGATAATAACAGCTAATGTACTGTGTACTTGTTAAAAATATGAATCAGAGAATGATTGGGTGGTTGAACATGTATACAGTATAATAGAAGTAGTACAAATTGTTAAGCACACAAAATAGAAAATAGAAAAGGGATTAACCAAACTCAATCAATTAAAATTAGAAAAAAAAAAAAAGGTTGAAAACATAAAAACATCAACAGTTATCACACATAACACATGACAAATAATTATTTGCTAGAAATATTGAAAAAAAAAACTATTAAAAAAAAAGATAACAGGTAACCTATAACAATTACCAAATAACAGGTAACTATTAACAAAGGACTTAATTACCTTGAAAGAAGTCGGCGTGGGTAGCAAATTATATATTTAATATTTAGAACCAATTTAAATATTCTAATAACAGGTATTTAAAAAAAAACAACTTTTACAAAAATCTAATTTTAAAAACCACCCAACTTAAGTGAAACAAAAATTAAATGAACTCAAAACTAGGAAGTAAAATTATAGGTGGGCCACGATGCTTAGCCCACGAACAGTAGCCGGTTTAAGTATTGATGGAAAATCTTACCTCCATAACAATTCTGCCAGCAGGCTGCCCATCAACTTCCATATCGAAAAACACTTTTGGGAGACCCATTTCTATTACTTTTTTAGCAGCAAACGGTACGGCGGAATGAAATGAACGAAGCCCAACTACAGAGCCAGAGAGGTGACTGAGAAGAGGACGACTATGGCGGCACAAGCTAACAGCAACGAAACTCATCTTAACGGAAGTAGAGCGCGCCTCTAACTACAAGATTCATTTATTTTTATCTCGTGTTTGGACGAAATTCAAAACTAGTTCTACTTTAAAAAAAAATATATAAAATTATATAGTTTAGTATAAAATTATAAGACGTTACTCATAAAATATTTTTATTGTGCCACAAAGTATTTTCGAATCTCAAAAGTTCAGCTAGATTATTATTATTTTTTTTTTGTCATTATGAAATAGATATTTTAAAAATGCATAGATATTTGTCCATGTTTTAAATATATTTAAATGTTTTAATTCATTTATTCAAATACATTACTACAGGTGAAAAATTAAAAGTGGCATTGCAGATGATTAATGCTTGTCATTAAACATATCTTTTTGTTCCTTTTTAATTGATTCATGATATGATAATAAAATATAACGAATAGAAAGTATTAACGCTAACTCTTTGTGTAATATAGATAGATTTTATTTTTATGTAGTTTTAAAAAAAATATTCCTTGTAGATGATATGATGATATGATATGATGATAAGAGAATGTCAAAATATAATCAATTATGGTTTTACTTGAAACCTAGTGTCGACCTTATTAGTGACAGATTGATAAATTTAAATTTAAATAAATAAAAATGAGAACACAAATCTACACAGTTATCACCATAACTATTGAGAAGCACATAACTATTGATAAATCGGATAACCTTCTCACAGAGTGACAGTTGATCGACCCCGCCATTGTCAGTTGAGGGGAAAAAACAAACAGAGAGAAACTTTGTTCTTTGAACTGATAATAAATGGTGTTGATTAAAGTAAATGATGTTTGCAGTTGAAAGTCTTTAAGAACGTCATTTTTTTGTTGGAAATTGTGTTTTTCTGCTCATCTTTTCATTGTTTGTCTCAGATTTTGACCTTTGCAAAAGTATATCAAAATTATTCTACTTGATGGTTTTAAGTCCTATGGTTCTAGAACGGAGATTAACGGATTGGACCAAGAATTTAATGGCATTACTGGGTTAAATGGCACAGGTAAATCTAATGTATTAGACTCTATTTGTTTTGTTATGGGAATAAGTAATTTGAACCATGTAAGTATTTGTGTTACTTATAATTTTTCATTATTAACCTGTTATGAATCTTGTTAGGTATTATTTGTCATACTGTAGATGAAAAAGATTTGAGGTGCATTAAAACTAATCTGTCAGGTTTTTATATCACATTTTTTCCCTGAAAGTGTATATGGGATAGTGTTAATTTAAATAAAATCTAGTGCTGACTTTTTGGTACGGTGGAGAACAGATCAGATTGTACTATTTTCGATGTTTTTTGTGATTTCTTGATTATAATCTTGGTTTCTTATTCAAATATAAGTTCCAATATTAGCAATGTTTGCAAAATTAGTTGGCTATGTTCAGTGCTAAAATAAAACACACTTTGATGTGCCCCTGTCTTGGACCTTCCTCAGGTTGACAAGTGTAATAATCTCACTGGTACGTGAAAAGAGCTATGGCAACACATCAATGAATTCATTAATATTCAAACTTTGTTGATAAGCTCATAGTTTTTATGACATTTGGGTTATTATGAAATAAATTAAACTCTAGTTCTAAATTACAACTTCAAAATCACTTTGAGCCCAATGTAAATAGAATCCTGAAACAACTCAAATGTGTCCAAATATTGATGTAGAATATGGATTCCTAATCTCTCCTAGGAAATTGTTAAATATTAGGTTAGATCATTTTATCTAAAAATAACTGAATCAGCTTATCTAAGTGAACACAATTTTCATGTTTCCGACTTACTGTAATTAGGAATTATATAATTCTCATTCAATTGATCTGCTGCAATCAAAATTAAATTTATATTTTCTGCCAATGTATATTACTTACCACAGTTAACAATAGATGTTATAATTTTAAACATTATCTTTAATTGTGTGTGTTTGCTGCTAACTTGAAGAGAATAACACTTTTTAAAAGTTTTCCTCAGTTATTTGGTTTCAGTGTGTATAACTACAAATATTTTGATAGGGCAATATTATATTACTTTAACATTCCCTGGGATTTAACCCACATTGTGTTCTAGGTGATCTTGAAACCATCCACAATGACGATTTAGATCTAGCACCTTAAAATAAAATAGAAGATTTTTTCTATTAAATCAAAACAATTAAAAATATTCTAGATAGGTTTATTTTAATGTTGATCAAACAATATAATGAGGATCTATTCTCATAAATGTGTTGTTTATTGTATTGAAAAGAACTTCTGGTAATGATTTTGATGATGTCTGTAGGCTTTTAGGCTGGGGATAGAACGCTTATTCTTAATGATTTTTTAGATTTAGGTTATGGTTATGTTAGGCTATCTGACTTAAGCTCTAATCCCCACTGCCATATTTGCTGAAAAATAATGATAGTAACAGCAGCAATTGACTTACACGTAATTCTAAAATATATTTACATTCTTTAACTATTTATCGAAATATTTGTCGATGCATTTACTTCTAACGAAATAAATGTAGTATTTAAGTAACCGTAATGTATTATATATCTATATCTTAATTTTATTTTGATATTTTTTATTTAGTTTCTTCTAGCAATATGGATGTGTTAATTCATGATTTTTAATTTTATAATAACGCAATTCACTTCATGTAGTAATTAACCAATTAATAATTTATTAAATTTTGAATTGGTTGCTGTTCCATCTATTTTGTTTTGCCCAATTTCTTTTTTAACTAATTAACATTTAATAATATAAAATCTATTAATTTGTTACTAACAAAGTTTAAAATAAAAATTTATGGTGAAATCGATTATTTGGTAGTAATATTTAATCAAAAATATTTAAGGTTATATTGTTATGGGGACCATTCCATGTAAAATCATGCTGCTAAAGTTTAATTTGAGACCCACCCTTCACAAGTTTTAATTTACAGTATTGTATATCAAGCAGATACAAAAATTTGGAGAAAGTACCAAATTTTTCCTTATTATAACAAATAGTTTTAGAAATTATCATTAAGTTAAGTTTTAACAGATTTGAACTTTAAAGAAAAATCAATAACTATTAATCTGAATCCTTTTAAATTTGTTCATTTTTCTTAAATTTTTTTGGAAAATCAAGTTTTACTATTTACACTCTGCATATACTAATCTATGGAAGTTATAAGCATCATAGTTTTAACATCCTAGGGAGCAACTAAAAATTAGAAACAGAATTGTGTTAATTCTGAGCTTGAAGGGGGTAAATGCTGGTATTAGGAAAAGATTGTTGGTCTTATTGACATTAAACATCCGTAAAGGATCAGCCCTGATCTATATTTATTTTATCTATAAACAGCTCCTAAGATTTTGTGTTTCCAGGCCTCCAAATACCCATCTGTTTCATTCCTTCTTCCTCATCCCTCCACCTCCATTTGACAGTGTCCAGTAAAAGGGAGATTGTCTGATTATATTGAGATGAGTCTGAAAGAATGGTGTCATGAGATGTTTTCATGTCCTTATTGACCTACTGAATTAAAAAAGCTTTAACTATGACTTGTTATTGAAAATACTTCCTTCCTTTTCCATAAGCTACATACTTTAAAGGCCTTCCAACTTAATGATTTGTTTACCACACAGACATTCATATTGAATGTTTATTCATGAAGTGAATTATTTAAATTTCTCAAATAAATCATAGTGATATAATTGTTTAGTATCTTTTTTTTTTTTAAGGATAAAGTTAAAAATAGAAAAAAAAGGCATGGAATTTACCCAAAATGAATTGAACTCAGTTAAAACAATAGCAGAATTGAAAATAAGGGAAAAGAAACTGGTGAATTACAAGTAAAGTGTGATCAGAAACATGGAGGATAACTATAAGAGCTTAAGAATCATTTGGAAGAAGCTGAAGAACTAGAAGCAAAAGGTTCTGCAAAATATAAGTGTCAAAGAAACTTTATCAGATAACACAAAACACTTAAAGCAGTTACAGAAAAACATTGATGATATAAAAGCTTTAAACCAAAAAAATGAAGAACTATCAAAAGTCCAGGTTATTTTTGGCTGTTTACATGAAGCTGATCAACAAGACGCTGAAACGCTACCTGCAGCTTAAAAGAAGTTTTAGGCAGTAATTTCTGGTGTGTTGACAAGTGAAGATGGCGAAAATGCTACATTACCCGATCAACTGATGGGTAAGTCCATATTATATATTTATTCAGTTGTGGGCTATGGAAAAAAAAATCACTTATGTCATCAAACATCTCATTATTTTATTTTGTTATATCCATTACATGGATTTTACTTATGACAGGCATGAAACCATATTTGTGTGTAAAATTTGAGTAAAAATGCTCAATTCTGAGTTATACTTCTAAAAAGCTTTCTTGTCTTTGGTAGTGAGAAAGCAAAGCACAACTTGTTTATTTTAGTTCATTCATTATTTCTTATTTGGTATTTGTTAAAAAATGATACAGAACTAAAAATATTCAGATTTTAATTGTTTTGTTTATTGGACCAGGTGAAAGTTGGCTTTGGAGGATTTGGAAAGATAGTTTGAACGAGCTGAGCGGTGAACAAAAGTGTGGCACTTTCTCTTATTTTGGTGATGCTGTTATTTAAACCTTCTCCACTCTAAGTTTTCACCTTAGATGAGGAGGATGCTTCTTTCGATCCATTCCACACTCAAAACATCGGATAAATGTTAAAAGCGCACTTTAAGCAACCTCAGGTAAGTTGTCTGTTGTATTTTATCTGCCATTGTAGTTCTGACAATGTTTCGGTACCTTTAGTATACAATTTATTTCTCAAAAGTTTTTGAATTGATTCTTCTTGCTTATTTTTTAAGATATATAAAAGCTATAAGCCTTCATGCAGAAGTATATTATTAACCATTTTAGGAAGTTAACACAATTTAATTTTTTTTTTATTTCAATGTAAATGAATGAATTCAAACTAATACATGATTTTTTTTCTCCAGTTTATAGTTGTGTCTTTAAAGGATGGAATGTTTAACAATGCCAATGTCATTTTCCGTACGAGCTTCGTAGATGGAGTGTCTTGTGTCACAAGAACAAGGAATACAGGGAAACTATAGTTTTGCCTGGAAATTGATTTGTCTGTAAAAAGTTATGTAAACTAAATAGAAATATTTGTTTCAAGCTTTAAAAGCTTATGTAAAGTACAAAGTTTTATATTTAATTCTTAACCTGCTTTTTTTAAATAGGCTAGTAATATTTACCTGACACACAGACAGTGTCAGCTCCTGATGTAAATTAGTATATAATGAAGCTGTATGGTGTTATGTAGGTTTAGTAAAATATCATGTACTGTTTGTTAAATAAAATTATATATTTATTACTAAACATTTGTTCCCTTAACATTCCCTTTGCTTTTTTATTGTGTGTGGATCAAATTAATCTTGTTTTTTTTCAATTGCTTTCTATTTTTCAACATATAAGAAGTTTTTAAATGGTTTGTTTAGATAATTTTTTATTCATAATTTGATTTTTCCTCTCAAAGATTTAATACAACTTTCAATTGTGGTCTCAGTATTTCTATGAAAGTTATTCAAAATCTTCAATTTTACATTTATAGTAAAAGTAATCTATAAATTTCAAAGGGCTTTTAAAATGGCTCTAAAATGCTTTTAAGTTCATTTCAGACATATTATGGTAAATTATAACTCCTTTAACTCACATTGTTATCAATTAAATTATTTATTAATTATAAAGTATTGGCAATACGGCTGGTCCCTTTGTGAAGTTAGACCATTACCCTCTTAATTAGGGTAGGCCTACAGGTATAATACTTGTAAGAACAGTCTTTACAAAAAAAATATAAAGTTGCATGCTCTCTATTTTAATATGGTGCAAACTACTTCTATGAGTAGTTTATTGTAATAATTATCTCTGTTTAGGCATTTCTCATGATGGTAAAATTAGATACTAAAATGGTGATTTATTATGTATACATTAAGCCCGTTTCTATGGAACTATTTAATGTATGTATAGAAGTTGAATTCTAATTGAAGTTGTTAAAATGCTCTACAATATAGTTTATGATAAATATCTTTTGTTTCTTTGATAATTGTAGAAGTGTAATATTTAGTGAAAAAATGCAACTTTTGTCTTCTGGCTTCACCCTACGTCAGCAGACTAAATTCTAATTTTTTTTTTGGCATCTTGGAGGTATGTTTATGTCATATCGGCTTAAAACAAACAATACAACTTTATACGTATGAATTTCTTCTTTCAACGGCCAACATTTTGAAATGCCCTCTCTTTCAATTTACTTAAAATCCAATGCTGTGGATGTACATTATAAATGTTTTCTTGAAATAAGTAACAAATTTTCAACTCAGCTGTTGTACTATAATGAAACAAATCATTAGTCTCTTCAGTCTCATATCAATTACCAGATTATCTACTATAAATTAGACAGACAAAGAGGAGACAAGGAACTGGTGTGCTTTAAGGAGTATAGAATCTTAAACATTACACTTCTTTTGATATTTCATCTGCTTTAGGACAAGCAACATTGATAGTTATAAAATATAAAATGATGATAACTAGTTATAAAGCTGTTAATGTTTAATTAACATTAAGTAATCTCGATTTTTAAAGCAAGGATTTTTTTTTTTGTGTAGAATTTTTATTCCATCTCAAAATCGAAATAGAACTGTTTAAACTTATCATGATTAAAAAAAAAAAAAATGAATCGTGAACCACTTCAGAAATGTTGGATGTGTGGAAAGGGAGAGCTTCAAAACCACTCTTCAAATGATTTTTCATAATTTACTTTAAAATTAATGTTTATGATTTGAAATGTAGCTCAATCGCTCATTTAAAAAGGAGCTTAAGTAGTTTAAAACAATATTCGAGATGATTCCAATTTAAAATCAAAACAAGAAAAACCGAAGTGATCAGGATTGTGAAATTAGCCCTCAAAAGTATCCTGGCTAAAAATGCTTTCTTGCAGTCCTCAATATTTTTCTTCACTTATTAGTATTATAAAAAAAAAAAAATAATAATGAGATAAAAGAATTAGCTCATTACCTTTACTTTACTTTAATATATTATTTTTCAGATGTTTCTTGTTGGGATGTCATATCTTTGTTAATGCTTCATCAAATCCACTGATTGAACCATAATAGGATCATTTGTAGCAAAGAGACAGCTAATTGTTTGTTTTTTTACCCATGATTTAGAATAAACAGTTGTAATCGATCAAGGATAAAAAATGAATTCTTCCCTCTTATAATGCAAACATCTAATATTGCGATTTATTTATTGTACAATATACTATAGGAAATATTTGTAAGGCTAACTTTTTTTTTTCGTTCTCAGCATTTTTGCTATACATGATTTTCTCAGGCCAGAGTGTGAAAGCTGGGAATTAATGCCAAAGTTAAAAGCCCTCCTGCACCAGGACGCGAACTCGTATCTATTTTATCATTATATATTTTATTACTTGCGATTTACTTATTGACCAATATACTATAAGAATTATTCGCACGGGCCAATTATTGTTTTTTGTTCTCCACTTCCTCGCCTTTTTGGCTAGCGGATTTCTCTGACCAGAGGGAGAGGGCTGGAGATTAATGGCAGAGTTAAAAGCCCCCCTTAGACACCGGGACGCGAACTCTTTTATCATTTATGACTTGAGATTTATCTATTGATCAATACACTATACGAATTATTTTCACGGGCAAATTTTTTTTTTTATGGCCGAAATATTGGAGAGAATGGTCCCACATGGGAGAGAAGAGGGGAGGGGGGTGTGACTCTTCTTTTATAAATCTATATCAGCTACTAGCTTATTTAGGACTTTTTGTCTCGATAGTAGTTGATTACTCGGAATTTGTAATTATTTGCGTATTACTTCCTTCTTAATTAAACAAAAAGACATCAAGTCAACATCTTATCAAATTTCGTTCCTCAGACTGTGATATGCAACAGACCTCTTTGGATGAAGCTTTCTCTAGCCTTTTAATAATATTCCAGTTTTGTTTTCTGTATCACAGGCGGATCTAGGAGGGAGGGGAAGGGTTTGGGGCTGAATCCTTATTTTATATAGGTAGGTAGTATTTTTCTTTTTTCCAAAGTTATTATTGATATATATATATACATACGGAAAAAAAACCTTTCGGGCTCAAGCCCTCTCCAAAATTAAATCCTGGATCCATTAGTGTTCTGTATTAATCCATTATTTTAATTTTTTTCTAAAAATATTAATACATTTAAATATAGTAACCTTATTAATAATAAAAATTATTCCAAAATATACTTTGTCACTAATGGTACTAAAAGTAAAGACAAAATTAATAAAGTTGTTAATTATTAATATAAAATAAAGTAGATAATATTAAACATTATGTAGTAAACACAGGTGGATCTACGGGGGAGACTTTCGGGCTGAAGCCCCCCCCCCCAGAAATGGTAAAATATAACCATATTTAAAGAAAAACATTATCTCTAAAAGTATTATTGTTCGTCTAATTACATTTAATAGGACTTAAAGAATCATTTAAACACCATTTCGTATAGGTAGTTAGTTTCTTTCTTTTCTCCGAAGTAATCACCCTAATATATACATACAAAAAAATCTTTCGGGTTGAAGCCCCTCCCCAAAATTAAATCCTGGATCCGTTAGTGGTAAAAAGTGTTATATAGAAACGTATAAGTACTTAAGTTAATCATAAAACACCTACCTATAAGAAAAGATATTGTGATTTAAATGGTAAAAATAATAATTAATATAGTTAAAACGGTTTTATCTTAGTATTATATTATTTTTTTCTTTTTTTAATTTGCGTTTCAATTCTTTTGAAACATGCCAACTTCCGTTATCATGGATCCATTGCAAATTCGAAATCCGAATAAGTTTTTATCAAGGTAATAACTTTTTTATATTAGCTAGTATAATTTTGAATATTTAAAATATAATATAGTTTCCACGTCTTGAAAATAAACGCTATAATCTTAAGAAAACAAATTTTTGATTTTTGATATCGGATTTTGCCAGAAATGTGTAATGTCCTCCTGTACCAATGAGTTAACTGCTAGTTGACAAATTTAGATATACATTAGTATTTCCAAGTTGAAAATATTGCATGTTTATAGATGTTTTTAGAACTTGGCCTCTTTGGAAAAAGCGCAATTACCTGAACTGGTTACTCATTGAAGTCGTCATATAGAAAAAAATATTTTATATGTGATTAATCCCTACTATAAATTTAGTTGATTATGCTTAAGGAATTTGAAAGTAGGCCTATTTTTTTTTTTTATCGTTCTCCTGGATACTTCTCTCTGTATACTAGTCGAAATATTTACTTATAACTCTTATTTTTAAGTATATTATATGATTCAATTTTTTGTTTTATTCTTTGAATTATCCATTGGTTAATTTAATCAATTTCTTTATCATGACATTTTTTGTTAATTGGGGAATATTTTCCCCATCAATGAAGTTTAAACTAGAAAATTTGGTTTTCATATCTTAGAGATTTAAATTGATTTATTGCAACTTCACAAGTTGTTATAAGTTATCTATTATATAATTTTGCTGCTTTTAACTATGAGATTACATTATTAGAAGCTTGATAACATATTGAATGTTAAATGTGAGTACTATCCTATTATTACATAAGTTATAGATAACATTTTATTTTTGGATTTAATATTTTTGTTCTCTGCTTTTACAGATTCATAAAAATGTCAATCGCTGTTAATCAGTTAAAAACTGATTTGAGGAAGAGAATTAAAAAACATCTGATGAACATGGATCCTGCTGTGATTGTTGAACAATCTCAGTCTATTATTAAACAGGTAATTCTAAATTCATCCCATCCTATCCTTTAATATTAATCTTACTTTTAAAAAGTATATAACATTTTTTTTCTTTAATAACATAATAACTTTGGGTTAGTGGTTTAAATATACGTATAATGTGTCTTAACACTTATTGTTAATTTTTAAATTATGAAATGACAACATGTTGAGATATGTCATTCTTTCTTTATAAAAATATAGTTATACCATTGCTGAATCAGTGTATTTTGCAGGTTTTATCGTGTGACAAATTTAAACAAAGCTCTAGAATTGGTATTTACTTAAGCTTACCAGAGGAAGTACCAACATATGATATCGTCAAACGGATTCTCAAAGAAGGAAAGGAATGTTTCATACCAAGGTAAAATAATTATTCGGACTGTTGTTTATTTTCTGAATTAGGTATAACCGTGTTAACTGTTTTATAGCAGACGAGTTTGAAACAGTAGTGTTACTTATAATTATAAATAAAGTTCAAGTTTTAAAGATGATTTGAGAATATTATATAATTAGGTAAGTTTATGCAGAAACAAAATGATAGACAATCAAACAGGTGGGAATTATCAACAAGAAAGATTTAACCTGGTTTAACAGAAACTTCAGTTACCAATTAAACAAATTAAACAGATTAGTGTTTATTTTTGTTAAATCATTCCACTATTTTTTTTTTTTTTGATCTAAAAATGATTTTTCTTCTTAAGAACCCAAACAAATGATACATTAGAATCAAGTAATCATAAAATAAATCATAACTGCAATCTAGACCCAATTACTGTTAATTTCTCATTTATTTAACCTTTTTTAAGAACTTAAATAAATAAAAGTTAAACTTTTACCATAAACCAAAGCTTACATCACATAAACAGAAACTTTTAAAATGGAACTTTTTAAAAAAAAGGTTTTATGAAAGTTTCAACCTCTGCTTAAAAACTTAGTTTTCGATTTTTGAAAGCAAATGGTTATATTGGATTTAAATGATGTTATTAATATATCAATTAATAACATCATTTAAATCCAATATAACCATTTGCTTTCAAAAATCAAAAACTAAGTTCTACAGTTTCAGTTTAGATTCCTATATTCTAAATTTGAACCTTGATCATAGTGTTTTTAAGCAGAGGTTGAAACTTTCATAAAACTTTTTTTTAAAAAGTTCCATTTTAAAAGTTTCTGTTTATGTGATGTAAGCTTTGGTTTATGGTAAAAGTTTAACTTTTATTTATTTAAGTTCTTAAAAAAGGTTAAATAAATGAGAAATTAACAGTAATTGGGTCTAGATTGCAGTTATGATTTATTTTATGATTACTTGATTCTAATGTATCATTTGTTTGGGTTCTTAAGAAGAAAAATCAGTTTTTAGATCAACAAAAAAAAAAAAAAAATTGTTGGTGGTTGACTCATGTTTGCGTAAATATGGTAATCCCTTAATATTTTTCAAAAGAATATATTAATTCTTTGTATATTTACTCAAATGAGGAACTACTTAAAACTCTGTTTTAAAAATTTATTAAATTATTAATCCCTTTTTGCCTTGTTTAAGAATTTTTTTTTTGTTTCTCTAAGATAATGATCTAAAATATAATTTGCTGATATTATATTAATGATGTATAACTAGAATTAATTTTAAGATGTTGCATCGACTGCCAGGGTCATTAGCAACGATCGTTTTTCTTAAATTGTACTTCAGCGTTTTTTCAATATCACTGTTTTCTTTGTACAGTGCTTTCGTCATCGATTTGGAGTTCGATTCGCTATTTCCGAAATTTCTTCACTGGAATATATGTTCAACGGTCAGATTAACATTTTAACATGCCTCACATGTTGGTCGATGTAGGCCAAGCAGTAGGTGGAGATGGAGTCCAATTTGGTATGTCCAATTCTGAGCCTCCTTATTATACAACATTCTTTTGATGTCAGGTGTTTTGGGGGATACTTAGCTCCATTTTTGTCTTTGATCAGATGAAGGTGATTGAGTGGCAGTAATCTCCACTGTGCAATTCGATCGTCGTTCACTTTCTTTGAAATTTCTCTTGCCCATTCTTTGAGAAACATCAATCATAAAACAAGTGAATCTATGCTTATGGTGACTTCCTTTGCTCCCTGACCCTAATCCTTTGCTCCCTGATGAAAGGCTTGTTCATTGCCAATTATGCCAATGTGTGAGGGTACCCAAAACAATATTATTTCTTGATTTTTTTTAATTAGTTCAAGTTCATAAGTTGAATTCTTTTATGCAATGTGTTACATGTCCATGTATTTTGCAGTCCCTTGGTTTCAGATAAAGAACTGGTCACAATGACTGATTTCTCAATATTGTTGTTGATTACGTATTCAAATACCTTGAGAATCACGTTTCACTTGTGAAAATTCATTTATGGTTATTTAATTTCCATTTTTTTATATTGTTACAATACAGCATCCATCACCTTTCTCTGATTTTGAACCGTCCGTGAAAATTATTTCATGATTATGAAATCATTTATTAAGATTATTTCGTAAACGATAAGGAAATGACAGGCTATTGTTAAAATTTTTGATGGACTGAAAGACCACTTTTTAAAATAATGTTTAGAACTGGCTGTATAGGAAAAAATTGGTATCCTGTTTGTCCTGATACAGCAATTAAACAAGAAGAAGTTAAGAATTGTTTAATTGCTATTATCTAAGGTTTTAATAATACAGTTTTCTTTAAATATTATTTTTTACTATAAGTTGTGCTAATGTTTGCGCCATATTTCTGTTGGGCCCATAAATATTTTAATTTCTCCATTATTATTTTAATTTAGATATAACAAGTTGGAAATGAGGTTGGTAAAGCTTTATTCACTTAAGGATTTAGAGGCTCTTCCTGAAACGAGTTGGAAAATTAAACAGCCCTTAGACACAGATGAACGGGAGGATGCTTGTGCGAAAGGTTAGATCTGAAAACTTGTTAATTTTTTTCTTTTAAGTGTGTTAAATTGTTTTTCTAGGCAACAAATTATTTGCCTTTTAAATAACTGTACATTGGTACAGCAGATTTGTGATTATAATAATTATTTACTACTTGTTGATTTTAAATGTTCATTGCATAATACATCATTCTATAAAAAATAATAACATATTGGAAGTTTAAGTTTTATTGGTGTATCCAGCCAATTTTATCTAAATTCATTTTTTTTTATTCTATTTTTTATTATTTATTTATGATATTTAGAACTGTATTAAGAAAAAATACATTAAGCAAATATGATAACATAAAATAATAACATGAAAACACGTGTTGAGAAACTATCCACTGGTAGCACTCGAAAAAAAAAATGTATTTACAATAGGAGATCTCGAGGCCATCTTCTTTCATACCCCTCGGAGGGCTATCAGGGATCAAGGAGGAAGCAAGGTTAGAAACTAGAGGGTTTGTATGGTTCTGAAGTTTATTATGGAATGATAGGTATCTGGACTGGGCCATATCGGAAACATGAGGAACATTAAGGTCATTATGGATGATTTTATTAGCGAAAAAGTAAGGAGCATTGAGGATTTTGGATTTTAAGGATTGGATACGTGAGAAATTCGATGGCTTAACTAATTTAGATTTAAAATAATAAAAAAAGTGTTTTAAAAAGTATATCAATACCTTAATGTATATATAATACTATTATTTTTCAATTATTAGTTATAGTGATGTTTAAGTATTTTAACTTCATTTTTATATTAATAATTTTCAAAAAGTTAACTTAATAATTTTATTCAGAGTCGAACTTGAACTTAAACGTTTTTAATTAAAAATTGTGGATAGTTTAAACATTTTTGATTTGTAATTGTGGATAATTTGAACTTGAATCGTCAGTGTAGACATGGAGATATCGCATAATTCATGTTTTTCTTCTGTTATTATTATTATTATTATTAAGTTCTGCAATTATTGAAAACTCATTAAAATATTAATTTAAACTGAACCATTTTCTGTACCCTCCAGCACCTTCAGTGAGCTATCCCGTAATTTTTTTAATTGATGAAGCAATTATCCTTCAGAAAAGGTGGCCGGCCATCTTTAGATATTCCAGGCTGCTGCTTGCTCTCTCTTGACTCATGAGTCAATACATATAATTCTTGAAGTTTGTATAGAGGACTTGTAATGTGTAAATTTCATCCTTTTACAAGGTTTATATTGTATTTCTTTTGATATATGTTTTATGAATTAGGACAATGGGATTATTTTGTATCATCTTGACAAGAAAATATCTCCAGACATATATTTTTTGATTCATTATTTCTGTATGTATATTAAGGCTAATGCTTTTAATGATTATGGGATTTCAGAGAAATGGTAATTCTTTCAGATGGACTTGATTACATTATAGTTCCGGGTCTAGCTTTTAGCGAAGGAGGTGACAGACTAGGCAGAGGTAAAGGGTATTATGATAAATATTTGAAGGAGTTACAAGTTTTCAATGCTGAGAGGAATTTAAATCCTACTTATGCCGTTGGTCTTTCATTTATTGAGCAGATTGTTGATGAAATTCCAACTTCAGAACATGACTTCAAACTTGACAAGGTGTTTTATCCTCAATGACAACAAAAGTTCATTGTCTAAAGACTTATAGCAATCACAAAATACATATGATCTTATTATGTATTATGTTTAAATCATCATCATACTGTTATTTTTCAGTTACTGGTCTAGGTATATTTATCTATCTGTAATATATGTTTTAATATTAGAGGAATGATTTAAAAAATATATATTATTTTTAATCACTTATGTACTTAGTTGATAGAGATTACCTCTGTGCATCACTACTACTAATAGTTTAATGTATAAACTATTGCAGTTCATTGTGATTTATTTTATCACCTATGTTTTAGTTGGTAGATTTTTTCTTTTCAGTTATCAAAGTTGTTTTCACAAAAAGCATTTCATGAAAAAGTCTTTCATTTTTTTATCTTCAGCTGTTTAGAAAGGTTTATTTATCTATTTAAAGAAAGGTATATGGCTGAATTCATAAATTGTATTCGAGTAAAATGTTTCATTCTATTAGGGTATAATTTCACTTAACTATTTCAGATACAAAACTCGTTCATCCCTGAGGGATTTTTAATCTTTGATATAAATGAAAAATACACTTGAGTATTTTTATTTTTTTAAATTATATTCAAAATCATAACCGATATCAGGAGTCTCCAAGTTTTCCTACAGGATGGTACATTTATAGGTTAATAGTAAAGTAAAGTAATAGTAAAGTAGTTAATAGTGAACTAATTTTCTCATTTGTTTTTTCTGGTTTCATTTTATGATTTTTCATTGTTTGATATTATTAATAATAATAAAAATCTGATGCGTGCGACACACAACTTTCATTTACCGCTCAAATTTGAATATAAATTATTTTCTGGCCATGTTGGATTATTATAGAATTTTTTAATTGCATTTTTAAGAGAGCTAAGGCTAAACAATTACAGCTAACAAATCATAAACACTATTTAAATAATAAAAGTTTTATTTATTTTATCATCGGTTGATTATGGATTGCACGATCTGTTGATTATGGATTGTACGACTATTAGTTATTAAACTGTTATTTTCCATCTCAAAGTTTACTAAAACGGAATTAAGAGATTTGCATTGTCTGTCATAGAGAGGTCAACGAGGAAAGACTTAAATGTTATTAAAGACCACTTAATTACACAATGATACACCGTGTTTAATCAAAATCGTTAGTCGTTTTATGAGAAAATTGTTGAAATGTGTTTCACCATTGATATAAAGTGGCACTTCCGGTAATCCGATTTTAAGGAAAAAGTTGCTGTCACATCTAAGGCATATACCTATCTTAAATAAATAATATCAGTTTCGTACGACTTTTCATTTTTGGGCTAGCCTGCTAACATACAGACACACAGACTATTTTTTGGGACTTGGTTATTTGGACTCAGGGTACCCCAAACAGTGTATTTCCGTTGACAACTAAGATTAAAAATTTTTCGCAATATCGCAATACTTACCCTTACTATATATTATATATATTCATAAATGAAAGTAAAAAATGCAACAATTATTAAAGATGACGTCACACGCTACAATTATGTCCATGGGCACTCGTTTGGAGACCCCTGACCTATTTGGATATTTGACCGAGTGAAATTTACTGTTTTTTTTTTTTTTTTGAACATGTAATTGTCAATTCTTTGAAAAAATTATTAAGGAATGTTTAAGCTAAAGCTTTTTTTGAAACTTTGTCTGCTTGTGTCATTGAGGTTTGCTTTTTACAGGAAAACACACACACCCTTCTTCATCTGTGAAGCAAGTTTTTTTCTATTTCTTCAATAATAAATTATAGAACAATAATAAATATAAATGAAACCTTACACAAAACACTTGTTGCTACAGAAACTGTAACATAAGCATGATGGTAGAAAAGTGCATCTGCATAAAGCTGTTTTTCTCTCAGGTGTCCTCCATTTATTAATAACGATTTTTCAAGTTTTCCACTCAATCCCACTTTTTACCTGACTAAGCGAAATGACACACAAGGTTTATGTGTTTGTGTAAGTTATTATTTTCACTTACCTTGAGTGCATTCTATGAATTCGGCCCATGATGTTATACTTAGTTGTCTTCTTGCTTCACTAATGTGCCTTCTTATTTTAAGTTAGTTTAAATTTTTTCAGTTTATTTTTGCTTTCTCTTCTTTTTATTGAAATCATTACTTATTTTATATGATTGTTTTATGAAGGTAGTTTTGAAAAAAAAAAGTTGTTAGTTCAATTTTTTATATATTTTACTAGAAAATTTTCTATACATTCATAGACTGTTAAATTTTATTGGTAAATAAATATATTTTAGATAGGAAAATGTGGAGTGCTCAACTCTTTCAAGATCAAATATTTTAATTGAAAGACAAAATAACGCTCAAGTATTTGACGGTCAAACTTTCAATAATGTGGACGATTTCAAATATTTAGGGTTAGTTTTCACATTAATGGAGAATATAAGCAAGCCTGGCAAGTACGAGTAGATTTTTATGTGTATTCCAGAAAGTATTCCATTTTCTAAATCTCTCTTGAAAATCCATGGTACTTATCTATCGGACAACCATCAGGCCTGTGGTGATATATGGCAGTGAAACATGAATACCGACACAAGAACATGAAAAAATCATTAAGGTGAAGGAAAGAAAGGTTCTACCAATGGGCTAATAAATGAATCAGGACAGTGGAAAATTCAACATTAATTGAGATGTATGGTGAATCAGAAATTGTTTTGTTCCTCAAGATGGCAGGAATGCAATGAAAGAATTTTTCCTAGTGTTTTTTTAAGTATGCAAGAACATCCTAGTGGACTTACTTATCTATAGGAAAGTAAAAAATTTCATTTAAAAAGTTAAAAATTCATCATATATTTTGGAGACCCAAATGCAACTCAATACGAGAGAAGATGCAGTTAAAATCCATTACTTAATTCAATACCAGTTATCGGCATCATCGTTTATTTCAGTAATATCATATCCATTGAAATTAAGCGATAAGAGGAAGGTTAATGATTGGGAACATTAATGATAAGTGTTTCCGAAATGATTTGTGATAAAGAAACTGTAAATTTGGTAAAATAAAATGTGTAGTATAAAAATTGTTTTAATGTTATTGTATAAATTACCACTCTAAATTTTGTACAATTTTAGAAATAGTATATAATTATTTAAGACCCTAACCAGTCTTCTGATTGCTTCTTCCTTACAAATTATTATCCCATTTTCCTTACAAATGTAAATTATCCCATCATTAATAATTATTAAATGTGTTGGTAAGATGATTTTTCATAAACCAAATACAAAAAAAAAAAGTAAAGTAAAATTGGAAAGGAATTCTTTATAAAATCACTCTTAAAACTTTGATTGATACACCAAGATAAAACCATATGAATTCAAATGTCATAGTATCATTCCAAAAAAGAGTTTTTCATTTTTCTGTTGATAACAATAAAGTACATATTTCAAATCAATAAAATTAAATAAATATAAAAAAATTATAAATAGGTTAGGAGAAATTTTTGTGTTAAAAAAAATGTTATTTCCTTATAAACAGACATTAAAAAAGTATTTTGGGATGTCAAAAACTTACATTACTTCAAGCAAGTATATGTTTTTTTTTTTTTACTTTTTAGTAACCTAACATCATTAAAATATTTCTGTCCTATTTTTCTTGTTTTACTTAAAAAAACAAAAAACAGTATGTGCATGTTTTTTGTAGATGCAGGATAACAAAAGTAAAAAAAAAAAAAAATCAAAATAAATCATTTTAAAACTTATATATATTTTTCTTGGCTCATAAAGCCTATTAGAATTAATGTCAGGATATGTTTCCAATATTTTCTGATGTAAAATCATCAATAAATGTTTTGATTAAATCGGTGACCCATTGACTGTGAATGATCTTTTCTTAGTCCAATTTTGGCAAATAGAAGTGTTAAGATTTTTTTTTATATCTTAACATAAATAGTATAATAGTAAGCAACCTATGCTAGTAATGGTTGTATGATAATTCTGATACTCTGATTTTAATCACATTGATATAGGGAACTAGTCCTAGTTGTGATAGGCCCTCAGAAAACTAAGTGCCAGGTAAGTAGAAATGGAGTTTATATTTCTGAGCTTTGATTTTCTATTTTATATATTTTCTAAAGCTTATTATTCTTGACATATAGTAGTGTTATAGTTACTGTATCTATGATAACCATATATAATACTTCGAAAAAAGAAAAAAAAAATAGATTAGTTCAATATTAGACTTATAGTATTAGTGTTGCCATATTTTCTTTTTACTCTTATTAAACTCTGGCCCTTGCTTCATAACTTAATGAAAAATAAATCAAAGAATAATTGCAGAATTTGTTTATGCCATTCAGGTGCCCATCCCACCAAGATCGATGGCGCATGAACTCTCCTCCTCTCCTAAGATATTTTATTGCTTATTTCTTCTTAAAAACAATGTAAATGATTGAAAAATTATAAAATTGTAGATCATATACAATTGCACTTGTTGAGGTCTGTTCCATATTTTTCGATTGACCCCTGGTTTAAAACTTTTCATTCCGAAAATTCACGACCCTGTCGAAATTGGCCCCCCTCAAAAATTCAAAATATGTCCTCCTCAAAAATTTAGATTGTGCAGCTTGTGCCATAATATGTGCCTTATGGGCACCTCTGATGCCATTTTACTATTAGATGAAATAGAATCCAACCATAATATGTTTTCTGTTAGGTCAAACTCCTTTTATTTTCCTAATTATAAGATCTATTTTTGAAATACTTATATTTTAAAAACTAATTTTAAAATATTAGAAGAACTTTCTTGACTTATATTAATGTTCATTGATCAGGAAAGGAGCTAAATATATTTTGATATAATTTTGCTACTGAAATTAAGGTTTCTGTGACTATTTCTTAATTAATCACTTCTTTTTTGCTAATAGTTTATTAGGGTTTAGATCCATTATGTACCTACTTAAATTATAACAAGGAAGGTCGCTTAGTTAAGTTTTTATGCAAACATAAAATTATAATTTCTCTATCTTTTGAACGATTGAAGATAAGATAGTAAAATGATATATACTCTTGAAGAAAATGTAATCCTCAGCAACTTTCTTCCGAATGAGTTTTTCATGCAATGATGAGATAAAGATTTTTCTAAGCAAACAAAGATAAAATAGTAAGGCAAAATATTTTTTTCAAAATCAGCAATTATTGAGCAAGGGTACTGTGCGAGATAGCAAAATAATTAATATCATCAGTCTTGTTGGAAATTTTATCAGCTTTAATTTTGTATAGAATGCCTTTATCGCTAGGACACATGATTTCTCTAACTTAAGTGAACCAAAAAAACCTTCTAGGTGACCACATCCGGCTCACCTCCTAGGAGTGGAGACTTTTAATAAGTTTATCTCCTTCCAAAATTGTGTTCCTGCCTTTTTTGAGCACTCATTGACTGGTCTAAAAATTATACATAATAGGATGAGAGGGAGTATTTGGTTTTGATCAGCAAAATATTTCATGAATTATTTACTCATAATCATTTGTTATATTTTTAATTATATATTTACCTATATATATGGTTTAAAGGTATTACGCTAATACCTATTGCATTTTAGTTTAGCTGAATGTATTATACCTCAATAAAAGAAAAATATGAAATAGAGTGTAAGAAGGCTCGAAGCTGGTATTCTAAAACTTATCTGGTTTTATCTTTAGTAGAAGAAGAACTGCAGCCAGCAGCAAAATTCTTATTTACGGGTTTTTAGATATAAGAAAAACGAATATCATCTTCGTTTATCCCAAGAAAATATATTTTAGGTATCATATGTGTGTAATATTTACATGCTTTATTCTTACTAGTGTTCGCCCAGTGGTCGAAATTCGACCATAGCCATTAAAAATTTGAGGAAAACATATTTAAATAAAAAATAAATTCAATACATAAAGAGTAAATCACGATTCAAAAATCCTCATTTATTAATATAAACAAAATTTCAATTTCAATTAAAAATCGAGCTTAAACTACTTAAATTATTTATAAGTAATACAAAATAGACTCATTCAAAATATTTAATTTATGTGTGTTATTATCACAACAAATTAATGTTATGATTAAGCAAGTAAAAACTAAATTTAAATTAGCAATTTCAACTCAGTTTAAATCCATTTTTATGCAGAATTTCTCTGTAAACAATATTCTTTTTGAATGTTCTGTTATTGTTTAGTACATAGCCTTGCCCATTGCCATTGAAAATATAAACATCAAAATTTTAAATGAACTTGCTCTACTTGCTATCACATATAATTGCCCATGCTAAATTACTGGATGCCGCAATAATACACAAATGTTTCCAAAACTTTGACCCTACAATTTGATTATGGTCATAGCAAATACAGCTATTAATAAGAACGCTGTTCTTTGAAATTGGAATGGAAGTGATTCTGAAAATATTAAATTAATTCTTGGAATTAAAATTCTATTATTTCAAGTAGCTCCTGTCAGTACTTCACTCTCATTCCTGCTCCATTAACTAATGCTTGTGTAGCATGTCAGTTAAGAATGAGTATAACTATAGAATTTATTTATAAATTTAATTTATAAGGTAACATTCAATGATATCTCTTCAAATAGAAAAATGTGATAATGAAATTTCAACAAAAACACTACTAAATATTATTTCGATGTTGTGTCAAAATCTCAAAGAATTAATATTATCGGTTGAATAACAGAGGAGAAAAAGGGGCTTAACCGTTTTGTTTGCCTATTTATATAATGGTTTTCGGACCGAATTTAGACAAAATACCAGATTTTTTGCATATAATCTTACATTTCGATACACGTACGGTTTAGA